TTGATAGTATCGTTATTGCGCGTATTGTAGGAATGTATATCACTCTTTTTTTACAATGTCCAAAGAATGATTAAGTTGGCCATTAATACACTTGTATGCATATATACATCGATGACATTTCCTACGTTCTTCAAGATTCAGCCATCTCAAGACAATCAATGCATCGGTGGATGAGGTGAGGTGATCTATCTAATATCAACTTAGCTGCTTTGTTTTGGAGAATTTGCAATTCCTTCATAAGTGAGACATTGTCCTTGTCACCCCAGACTAAATCAGCATAATCAAAAATAGGTAGCACTAAGCTATTATAAAAAAGTAACCGGGCATCATAAGGTAAATAATACTTAATCCTACGTAGAAGACCAAGGTTTTTATTAACCTTACATGAAATATACTCAATATGGTCGGACCATGTGAAAGTTGAAGACAACATAACTCCCAAATATTTAAAACTACTTACAGAATTTATATCAGTGTCGAAAATAGATAACGTGAAAGAGGAAATACCAACAAGTTTCCTATTACTGCCTATAATCATGGATTTCGTCTTAGTAAGATTTAAAGTTAACTTATTTCCATGTAACCACTGGGCAACTTTCAAGAGATCATCATTCAGTGCCTCTTCTAACAGGTGTGGCTCTTTAGCAAAGTAGTACAGGACCGTGTCATCAGCATACAAAGTCACTTCGCAATTCTTTATAACCAGCGGAAGGTCATTAATATAAACCAAGAAGAGAAGCGGTCCTAGAATGCTTCCCTGTGGCACCCCAAAGGTCATCGGGAGAGGGTCAGACACAGCATCGCTACAGGCAGTCCGCTGTTTACGATGATTCAGGTAAGACTTGAACCACTGTAGAGTGCTGGGCGAGACACCGATAGCCGACAATTTAGATAGCAAGATCGTATGGTCAACGGTATCGAATGCCTTGGTCAGATCTAGGAACACTGCACCGCACAGTTCTCCACTCTCCATATGCAATAGGACCTCATCTGCAAAACTGGTGAGAGCCGATGTTGTAGACAGTTTGGGACGGAAGCCAAATTGTTTGCTTGAAAGGAGATTATTTGAATTCAGAAAGTCATAGAATTGGGAATGGACGACTTTTTCCAGAATTTTACTCATTGTTGGCAGAATAGAAATTGGGCGATAATTTGACGCATCTCTCCTATCTCCAGTTTTGAAAAGTGCAGCCACTTTCGAGCATTTCCATATTTCAGGAAAATTGCCAGTGCGAATAGAGAGATTCAGTAACTTGGTGATCGAGGGACAAATAGCACGCGCGCCACACTTTAAAAGTCTCGCACTGATGTTGTCCAAGCCAATAGCTTTATTTGTCTTTAGAGAAAGCAGATGCTTGAGTACTGTTTTCTCATCAACTTCGTCAAGCGAGAAAGACTGTAGCATCGTGGCCGATCTGACTGGGAACATAGCAGCAGCTGATATTTTATTTGCAAGACTTCTGCCAATGGATGAGAAATAACAGTTGAGCACGGATGCAATAGAGGCTGGGGTGGTGTGTTCAACACCATCAACTACGATACATTGTGGGCTCGAGGATTTAGTCTTGCGCGAAGACACCTCATTCACCGCCTTCCAGATCTTTCCTGAATCCCTTTAGCCTCTAAAATCAAGTCACAATAATACTTGGATTTTGCTGCCTTGACTTCACGATTGACCCTATTTCTTAACTTTCTATAGCGAGCCCAGTGAAAAGCAGAATTGGTTTTCACGGCTTTACGATGGTGAAAATCACGATCCTTCATCACCTCACTGATTGTATCATTCAACCACGGGAGCGGAACACCTCGTATTCTTCGCCTTTTCACGGGCGCATGCAGGTCAGCTATTTCAGAAAACAAGTGATTCCAAATAAACACGGCGTCGTCGATGTCTTCCTCGTTTTCAATGATGTGCCATGGGACGTTATTCAAGTCCGCTAGGAAGGTGTTCGCATCAAAGTTTTTATAAGAGCGGTATTCAATTGTCTTTGGTGGTGCCTTAATTACACCTGCTTTTAAAACACAATAGACGAGGTAGTGATCACTCAGCGAAACAGGAACAACACCGGAGTCATTGATGCGGTGATCATTGTTCACTAAAATCACGTCAAGCAAGGATTGACAGGTTTCCGTCACTCGGGTGGCCTCAGTAATGAGTTGCGTAAGATCGTGTGAAGTTGCAAATTTTTTAAGCTCTTGTTTTTCTTTCTTTCTTGAAAAAGGCAGCATATTTGCATTTAGGTCGCCAAGAAGCACGAAATCACATTTTTCCAGGTTAACTTTCGTCATAGATATCTCCAAGTTTGAAATAAAGTTCGCAAAGTCAAAACCGGGGGCTCTATATGCACAACAAATCAATACTGGGCGACATTTAGTGCGCGATAGCTCAATCCATAGACATTCATTTGCGGCTGAGTAAAGATCATTCCTAACACGAAACGGCAAGCCTTCCTTTACATAGATTGCTACTCCACCAAAACCTTCTTTGGCTCCAGACCTATCCAGGCGAATGCAATTATATCCTGGAATAATAACATGGGAGTCTTCATAGCAGTCATCCAGCCAAGTCTCACTGAGTGTAAGAATATCGATCGTTCTGTTATCCAAACCCTCCAGGCGCAGCGAGTCTGATTTGTTCCTCAAGCTTCGAATATTTAGATGAGCAAGCCTCAATCCTCGTGAACTCCTAACATCCTCCAAACTCCTATATCCAGGGTTGAGTTCAACATCTCCGGCAAGCGCTATTAGAGCCAAGGCTAGAGAGCCATGAAGTATAAGCTTGCACGTAATAAAGCCTTTCTGGAAAGCTCCGACTGCTTGGTGTTTTGCTGGACGCCGTGCCAGAGAGTGAAAAGATTGAATTTTAATCCTGCAAGCTTCTTGGGAAGCAAAATATAGGTTGCTACTATTGCTTAGTGGCTTCGTTGATGATTTGTTTTGTTTTATGCCATTCAAGATAAGAAACAGGCAGAGCAGGAGGCCAAAATTAACGGACAACGTGGTAACGCATCCAGCCATCTTGATATGCATATCAATATGCATATCAATATGCATATATGCATATCAATATGCATATATGCATATCTTCCTTTTCATTGGACGAGAGTCCACCACGTGACCTGCAAATAACTGCCCAAAAATAATTAATGGTCTGCTCATGTGCAATGTCGTCTAACTGTGTTTGGCTGCAAATAATATCCTGCTCATGCGTAAATGAATCCACGCTTTACTCCTTCTTGCCATCGCTCTTGCGTGAAAATGACAGAGTTTTTGGCGAATAGTTGAAAAAAAAAGACTCGGTCATCGAATGATAAAACAATTATTGAACCGATATCGGTTATCGCAAAATATCGTGATTTGTCAGTGTCTCGCAGATAAATTTTTTTGCCTCAGCCAATTGATATGCTCGCCACTGACAAATCACGATATTTGGCTCATCTTCGTCCAATACGTGTTAAATATGCGGATTTAGCGTCCACACGATTCCGGATTCATAGCGTATTCAAGAATTTCCACTCTGGAGAGCCTGAGCAGATTAAAAAAGTTACGGATTCGTATGTAGAATTCACTGGATACGTGTGGACGTGGACATTTTTGAATTCGGAAAGAAAAAGTTGTGGATTCAAAAATATCCGGATACGTTTGTAAGGGACCTTAGAAACTGATATCATAATGTTACCGCTTCATTTTCCATGCTCTGTTTTTCCTGAGCTCAATTATTACTACGAATATCAATTATTACTATCATTATTATTTTCTCAATGAAAGCAAGTTCAAAATATGGAAAGCAATAAAACTTGTGAAATAGTATATACAAACAATCTAAACATGGGGAAGGAAGTTTGTCTAATAAACATGTGGGCTCCAACATATCATTCATGAAAACAAGATGTTTAAAAATATGAAATTAAAAGTAATAAAACTTGTGAAAAAGGGAGATAATATGTAAACATGGGAAAGCAAACGTGTCTGAAAAAACGTGTTGACTCCAACATATCATTGGGCTCACTGATCATCGAACTAAAAATACTTGATAACATTAATACAACACCAACCAAAAACGATTACCAATGATCTCCAGTACAAACACACGAATATCAATATTTAAACAAGGTAATCATCACGGCGGCAAAATTGAAATACAGTAAAAACCCGCATATAAGTACCTAGTGATTAAAGAACCCACAGGCTGAATTTTGCATTTGAATACCCAAAAATATAAGAACCTGTTCAGTCTGTTCTTATACAAAAAATCACTCCAATTTTGATGGTCAAAATTCCGGATTTTAATTGTGTGAGAAAGTTCTGACAAAACGTTATTGTGTATATGTATATTCTGTATGCAAGCATTTTTGTTGTTGAAAATACAAGTGCTAAAGCATTATGTATTAGTGGTACAATATTTCTGCCAACGGTTACATTACGACAACCTCTGAAAAATAACAGCAAACTGAGAACCTAATCAGCCTGAATTGTGCGAACTACCCTAAAATACAAGAACCTGTTCAACCTGACCTCGAAAATTCTAGGTTCTTATATGCAGGATTTTACTGCTTTCCAAAACCACTAAAGCTCTTTAATGCAATTTATGACGGAAACAAATTAAAACCAAACCATACAGGCTGCTTAACGTACTTCTCATCTGGCAGACAAGATGGCAAACAAACGCAGGCGTACGGAAATTATTCGTCACTAATCAGTTCTAGTCTTTCGTGCCAGCGAGTAAAACATGCATTCACTACAGCTTAAAAACAGCCAGCAAAGTGTTTCACCACTTTTTAAAACTTAAAACAGATAAACAGGACGAAAAATCTGTACCTGCACCGCCTTCAAAAAGCTGGAAAAGTTAATTGGCCAAAAACGTTTAGTAATTGGAAAAACTGGGTTAAGTTACAGTAATGTATCGTATCGTGACTTTCGATTCGTATCGCGATCTCTATCGCATGGTATCGCTGCATCCCTATCAGCAAACAAAACGATAATAAAATTTTCTTCCATCGTTAAAATTTGATAAGATATTCAGGATAGCACTGATTATCAAAGAATACCACAAATATGGACGGGTTTCCAGCATCATTCACCACAGAGTCAAACAACTCTTCCGGTTTGGAAGGATCCTTTGGGGGAGGTATCACGGCTTGACGACTAGTCCCTTTGCAATACTGACCCACCAGGACCTTAGCAACGTACATGCATCGGTTACCAACACCAGCTTGGGATCTGTTGGCGTAACCTACTGAAAATGACGCATCTCTAGCGAAGTAAACTCCTTTCCCAAAGTCAGTCCCTGTGTCATTAAATAATTGATGTAATTGACTGTCAATATAATTTTCAAAATGACGTACATCGAAAAGATAAGGTAAATTTTCTAGGAGAGGAGGCAAATATTCCACGGAGTATTTGACAAAATCGTGCACTGTGACTTTTCGGACAATCAAGAGAAGTTTTCTCATGAAGAAATTCATGTGTTTACTTTGTTAATCTTTCCCTCAAAAAGCTCTTGGTAAGCCATTTAAAAGACGCGACACAGTAATTAAGCAAGGAAAATAAGACGCGATCCGAACCATTTATACCAGTATGTCTGACATAAGACGCGAGTAGTTCTTACAAATGGTTCGCGTCTTATTTCTGGTTCCGGATTCGTTTTCGTGTGCGTGTTGCCGATAGCAATGGCGAGGCGACATAACATGGCGCAAGTTAAAAAAACGCATTTTTGTAAGGCGTTCATGTTACGACAGACGTCAAAATTATACTTCGCTTGCTTAAGGGGAGCAGGGATGGCGCAGTGGTGAGAGCACTCGCCTTCCATCAATGTGGCCCGGGTTCGATTCCTGGACTCGACGTCATATGTGGGTTGAGTTTGTTGTTGGTTCTCTTCTCTGCTCCGACAGGTTTTTCTCCGGGTACTCCGGTTTTCCTCTCTCCGTAAAAACCAACATTTCTAAATTCCAATTCGATCCGGAATGCTCGAGCGTTTAATACATGAGCCCCCGGCTCGGGTGATTGGGCAACCACTCCTCACGCTATCGAGCTTAAATAAAATTGATTTGATTGATTTGATTTTGCTTTATATTTTTAACCCCCTTTTCGGTGTTTTTTTATATGACTTCTAGAACAGGATGGGTATCAAAAACTCTCACACACGCAGAGACTTAAAATCATAGGTCCGTCCTTTTACTATGGACGGGAAATATCGAAGGTTTCTGAAAACACTGACTTCAAACCTAGTCATATACTACCGGGATCCAAACCTAACCAGACCAAACGCGGAAATTAAAAAGATATTATAAATATCATGGGTGACAAATTACTTCTTAATTTTGGCGCACGAAACGTTAATTGCTAAGATGGCGTCGAGGTTTTAAACTGTTATGAATGAAGATGTCAGGGCATTAAAGCCGCTTTAGAAAACCTAAACGCACGAAAGAGCACATCAAGAGGTATTCTATCAGGTATTTTGTTGAAAAATTCTGAAAGTTATGAACTTAAGCCAAAATTCAAGCTCTAAACTTTTCAGTGCGCGGAATTCTCGATCGATAAGATCAACAGGTCAAAATCCCACGTTTGCAAGCTTAATTTGTCACCATGATACTATCAATATGTAATCCAGTGGTATACTTGTGAAATTAGGGAATAATTTCACTTGCGTTTAGTCCAAATTTGAATAATTTCTCTAGCCTTAAGGTCACCATTTGATCTCTGACATACAAACACCACACAGAGAAGCCCGGGAACTAAAAGTATCATTAGTTATGCTCAAGGCTCGTTCTTCACCAGCGACAGAATCGGAGTCGGAGTCGTAAGAAGAGTCGTGAAAATCCTAGTGAAAATCGCAAATCGGAGTTGTGTGCGAATTCAATAAGTTCGCCAGAGTCAAAGTCCCAAGAATCAAAACTTTTTTTAAAAAAACTTTTTTTCCTCTGTTTAGTAACACCCGTTGTTCAGCTTTCGTATGGGACTTGCCAGTCTAGTTTCCACAAAATCGTAAGGGAACCGGAATCGGAATGCTGTTTTCACTGAACCACAACCCTCTACGCTTCTGATTACGCCGGCTTCGACTCTGTCAGTACTTTAGTATGAAAGGTTGCAAACGGTGAAAATGCCAATATGACCCTTCGATAAGTTTTTGTCAACAAGGTTTTCCAAATCGTATTAGTCTGGAGAGGACCTTAAAATTATTGTGAAACAAGATTATGGCCTATAAGCGTCGTTGTTTACATACCGCTAGCAGTTCCTGAGAAACTTCTGTTGAATCCTTGTGAGTTGATCTTGGAGACATTGTCAGGACTTGTACCATGGAACAATAGCCGCTCATTATTTCCGCCGTTATCTTTGTCCATTTTCTGCTTTCTAAGCTGGTACGATTGGTACAGATGCGGATTTTGTATTCGTTCGATACCCCATATAGTATAATTTCCCACAGTCTGGTAAAATGTAGTCGCCACAGCCTGGTACTCAACAGAGGTAGGAGCAAGATTTACCGCGTGTACAGTGACGTCAAATCCGGCTTGGTTGCGAGGCATTGGCTCCCAATTTTTAGGAAGAGACATTACTATAAGCAGTTTAATAGACTTCGCTAGTACCTTAGCCTTTAGGTTAATACTAGGTTAGGGTTGACCTCGTTTTGACTGTAAAACTCGCTGTTTTTCTTGCGCAAAACGATGAGCTCATTATTTCTTGTATAAGACCTTTTAAGTTACGTAAGAAAACCAAAAAGTTCAGTGTGGCCAATTTCTACACACAATTGTCACTTGGGTCACATTTTGAAGAAAAATCTTGATCTTTGTATCTGTGGGTGGGACCTTTTAGTTTGTTAGGCCGGAAAGCTTTAAAGTAACTTGAATGAGCGTTTCGTTTGCGTTTTTAGTGCTGTAGAGGGTTGTTGTCTATGGACGAGCCTTTTATCTACAACCAAGTAATTCTGCGCGTACAGTAGTAAATCTAACCAATTCCAAGTACGCGTATAAAATGAAAGACATAATAAATACTATAAACCTCAGTTTTAAAATTTCACATGTGAACTAATATTAAAACAAAAGACGGTTTACCTGGAAAATTGGCGTTTTCTGCTTCCCTTTTTCTCTCTGTCTGCTCATTCAGTTGGTGCCAGATCTTCCCGACTATTTCTGCCACTTTACTGTGCTCACCCTGCACAACAAAACTTTTATCTTGTCCCTTAACCGTCAAGATCAGTTTGACATCACGTGACTTGGCGTCCTTGCTCAGATCACAGAGTTGGTTTTTAGACAGATCACTGACGTTTTTGTGATGGACCACCTGAGTTGTAAAAGCTTCTGCAATGCCACGTTTCAGCGTATCCATGGCTCTCTTTACACCAGCTTTACTGGGTCCTGCTACATGAATTACAAGTCCGTTCTTGTTGGACTGGTGTGACTGTGCATCTTGCTCGGTCTTGATCTTTTTTCTCGGTGGTTCGCCTGTTGAACTTGGAACTGGTTGTGTATTGTCTTGTTGCTCCATAAGCTTTTTTTCGTCCAAGAAAGCCTGCGTCAAACTGGCCTGGAACAAGATGATCCTAACGTGACGCAAGTTCATACAGTTCTCTAAAGAGTTTTTTAAAGCTCTGAATGTTAATTGGGCTGAGTCGACACCCGGAATTCCACCCGCTCCAGTCCCCACCGCGGGCAATGAGATAGTCTTTAATCCTGTTGTGTCAGCCAACTGAAGGCATCGTTCAAGACACTGCTGAAGGTGATTTTTGTCAGAGGAATTTACAACCATGTGAACAATGTTTGGCGTTGCAAGGTTACCGCCACTTGTTATCACCGCTGTCCCTACAGGCTGCTGGCCTAAGCTTCTACATTCGTCCTCCACTTGCGCACCGCTGGCCCTAGCTATCGCTTTACTGAGGTCTCCGGCGGAATTCATATTCATGTCTGTGTGGATGATGTTCACAATGGCATCTGTTGTCTCTTGTGTAAGATCGCCTTCAAAGACAAGAAAAGCTCGTGATTTACGGCAGCACGCAGTTGGTAGCTGTACTTACGGATTTCTGCCTACAGCTTTTCAGCAAGAACCAGCAGAGTTCCCTTCAAAGCCGTGAAAAGCCTGGGTATTATTTTGAACACTAGTTTGACTTTCAATAACCGTGTAATAGCCACTGTCTCCACTTAATCCCCGTTTATGCGGAGAAAACCTGTCTTGGGTTGATAGGTCACCCTCCCGGCTAATTAAGTCAACTTTAACCAGCGTTTATATGAGAAAAAAAAGGATAGTGTTAATGTTGGCTTAGAGGAGGGGTAGGTGGGCAGTTTCCCAAAAACGTATGATGATCCAACAAAAGTTGGCCACATCGCTCGCGTATGCTCTAATTGTCTCGCCTTGCCCCGGAGAGCTTGCTAGTAGGCTACTCTTGACCGAGTTGACTCGGCTGGGCGAGCTAAAGTGTATATATGGAGAAAAGTCGACTTGACTAGGATGGTACCGGGCCATCACAAAAAGGGGGTAACCGGGTAGGGGGTCACCCTTCTAACCGAGCTAACCAATGGTCTCTCATCAGAAACATATAACCCCGAGGCCACGCAAGGTCGCACGATCAGTCAAGCACAACAACTCCATATTAGGAAGTAAATTTTGATTGGTTCCTTAAAAAAACCTCAGCATTGGAACAGTGTTATTCGCTTCGGGGCTGTATGTTTCTGTTCTCAGGTAAATGGGAAAACACGTTTTGTAAGGAAGTGTGGAAAAGTTGGCCCTTGAGTTGGTGCAAAGTAGACGCAGTACCAAGTAAGCCATGGAAAATATATGTAGTACCTCCGAGGCGAAGGAGTTGCCGAAGAAGTTATCACAAAGTTTTGAGTGTGCAATAAGTTACAGAAGAGTTCCATTTGACCAAGGCCTTTGGCTTAAGCCTCGTTTACAGGCATCAAGACATACAAGGCACTTGCATTGGAATGAGGGGGATTAGCTAAGTGGGTAGCGTCACATTCTATTATGAATACAAATCAGTTAAAAGAAGAGTATCTGTGAGAGCATAGTTAGTAGAAGTGAAAGCAACCACAGCAAATGTCAAAAGGCACGGCAAGACTCTGATCCAGCCAAATGGTGGTTTTTCTTTACAAATCAGCTTATAAATTAAACTTCAATCCTTTCTTAAAGTCCTGGCCCCAGTTATTCACAAGGTGGATAGAGCTCTCCACTGAACTGGATAAATATCTATCCACTAGATAGTGCAATTGGTTTCCCAAATAGTAATCAGTATCCGCTGGATAGTGATTTCTCCCGTGGATAGCGCTATCAAACGTTTAAACAACCGAGGCCAAACTTTACCTGTAACAACCTCCACCGTCTTGCGATATTTATTTTGTAAGCTCGTTCCCTCTTGCGTAAAAGCATCGATGAGTCCCTGATCTCCGTGATACAAAACAAATCGAACATCTTTCACCGAGATGAGGGGGTTATTTTGGCACACTGTTACCGCTTCATCCAACATTATCCTGCCCGCTTCGCCCGGAGGAAAGCACAGATTTCCTGTTCCAATTATAGGAAAGGCGATCGAATCTCCTCCGAGCTCGTCAACCTTGAGAATAGATGCTCGCACAATGGATCGTAAAGTCTAAAAATTTAAGAGCAGAGATAATTAAACGATAAGGATTTCAGAAAAAAGAAAAAGAAGAAATACTAAAATTTTAATAATCTATTTATGTTGTCCTTCAGCAGCATGATTTTAAAAATAAAAATATTGTTCTAGTGAGGCCTTAAACGACTGGTTAAATTACAGTCCAAGCTTTCGCCTATCAACCGCATCATCAGGGATGACAAAATGTTCCACGCGACGCTATGTATATACAAGATAAAATGTGTAAGAGCGTATAAATGATCTGAGGTATGTATGAAAGGTATACAAATAAAAAAGAAAAATGAATAAAATATACATAGCGTCGTTCGGAATACAATTCACTTACCACTTCTCCGTTGCCTCCATCCCACTTAGAACAACACGTATGTAACACGTGACTACATGCCAACTGGTAACCAGGGGTAACTACGATTTCCCCCGGCTGTGGAGTGTGAAAGATTTTTACAATGTCCGGGCCAGCAGCAGCGAATATGGCTTTTGAACAGACACCTTGGGAGCTAACAAGTGTATGGGCCTGAAAAACAGAGTTATTTGTTAAGCGTTCAGTTGAGTATCTTGGGTGGCACCACAAATAATAAGCGGGGGGAAGAGGGGCTTAGAAGAGATTGAAGATTTATTAATTTTTTCCACTAAAAAAGGGGGAGGGACTTGTTTGAGATGAATCGGTAATGGGTTCGCGCGTTTAACCGAAAGATCGAGAGTTGGGTAGTACAAACTTTCTGGTTTCCTCGACAGGCCCCTACTAAAAGGAAGATAGGGTGGGGGGTTTTGGGGGGGGGGGGGGCACATGGGAGACCCCACCAATATCTCGAAAAATTATGCCCGTGTAGAGCAAAAAAAGCGGGATCGCATATCCCGGAGCGAGCAACTCTAATAATAGGCTACGTCACGACGTTTTAACGACCGGTTTATTCTATCTTAGAGCACCTTTTCAAACTCCAAAAAGGAATGCTCCGCTTCGTTTATAATTGTATTCGAGATATGAAATATTAAAACGAAAACTTAACGTCATTAAAAGTTCAAAAATACCATTTTGAGGTCTGTAGGTTTTGCTGACTGGTTTGTGGGACTAGAAAGCTATTCTAAATTCGCGCCAAAATCGTTCTAAACATGAACTGGTCGGTGAAAATACGCTTACGAGCTCGAGTACATGGAAGTTGTTTGCTCCGGGTTATGTGCTCCTGAAAAAAGGTAACATTAGGATGCCTTCCCCTTCGTCTAACGAGTGATTAGTTTACTGATACGTTTCTAAGTACAATCACGAACCTGTTCAGTAGCGATATCTCCAACCTTCCATAAGACCTTGTGTCCTTGTTGGGTAATTATAACGAACGAATCCGCTGACTTGACGCTTGGGTCGCCGCCACTGGCTGAAACACCTGCAGTGCCGATCGATGCGTTTGGAACCGTAGGCGTTGCTTCTAATCCACTTGTGCTAGAACTAGAAGACCTGTTATGAAGATATTTCTTTTCAAGGCGTACGTAACACTTCTCTTCGTTATTGACAATCCTGGTCAAACTATCTAATCTGCCATTTGCAATGTAAGTTGCGATCCCGGGCTGTTTGAAGTCATAGCTGTCACAGACAACTCTATCAATAAGAACTTGAACCATCTCCACCGCATCTGCTAAGCCTTCGCCTATTCCCGTTAAAAAGATCTTATCCTCGGCTCTTGTTTCTTCGATCACAACACAGCATCGTCTAATTCTTGCTGTTCTTTCTATAGCTTTGAGCTGCTGTTGACGGAATTGTGCTATGAACTTGAGAACGTCCTTCGCACATGGCAGATACACGGTCTGGAGCGTGCCACCATCTTGTAGTATGCTCTGAGGCCCGCTCATCAACATTCCGAACGCGTATTAATCGACGCTCTATACGGAGAAAAAGGACAAGCAAAACGTAAGCCACTCAATGGTTTAAAATATGTATTTTTCTTCACTGCTCAGAGCTTGTTCTAGGCGTTCAGATAGTGGAGCGCGCGCACAAAATTGACAAAGAAAAAAGCCGTGTGTAAAATTTCCGCATTAGCTTGAGCAACTTTCTCCTCAAGGCTTTACACTTAGAAAATTTAAAAGGTTGCGCTAGATTCACAGGGTAAATTGTTTTAAAATTTCTAAGTTTTATTAAAATTTGATTTACTGCGAATAATAGAAGCGCAGTTTTCATTTTCCCGTGACAGATCGCCCACAGTGATCCGTTGCACAGAGCCCTAGAAATGAGCTTTTCTTTCAATTCATCATCTATCAATCATATTATGTCAGAGGCCTGTTTCAGACGTCGTGCTACTGCCGTGCCGAACTAAATTGATCGAATTAAATTCGACTTTAGCACGGCAGTAGCGCGAGGTTTCAAACCAAGTCGTGCTACTGCCGTGCCGAACTTAATAATTATTAATAAATTATGAAACATTAGAATACATTTAAAAGCTGGCTGAATCGTTTCTTTGTTTTTGCGTTTCGTTTTCGGTAAAAGCCGTTCTATTCGACTGAATTAATTTCGACGTCTGAAATCAAGTCGTGCTAGAGTCGTGCTGCAGTCGAACCAGCTTAGCATCGCAGTAGCACGACGTTTGAAAACGGCCTGAGGGACAAAACGAGGGTAAAAGCGTCAAGTAGGAAGTATTGGATCCACCACCTCTTCCACAAAAGTATCCATCAAAGTAGTTCAGGCTCAGTTTTCTGACAATCCAGAAGTGACAACCATAGGCTGCGAGCAAGCTCTCTGGGGAGCTCTTGGGAGCAGGGGAGAAAACAGAGGGCCCCCTTCCGAAGAGAGCTTGCTTGTAGGTACCCTGCATAGTAGCCTGCAGTGCAGGCGCATTTTGGGCGGGCGAAAGCTTCTTGTTTATGTTCGTACTACGGTAACCGCCATCTTTGATGTTATGACGGAGGAAGGTCAGGGAGAGTAAAAATAGTAACCCTTAGGGTAGTCCCATTTTCCCCTCTCGTTTTGAGTTTAACATGGCGCTTTCGCGAGCAAAACAATCTCGCGCCTGAAGAAAACTTCTGCATTGCAGGCTACCTGCGTAGCTAACAGTTTTTTTTTTTGATGTTTCGCAAAGTAGAGTTACCTTGTTGTTTATGACCTTTAAATGCTTTTTTTTTGTTTATCAGCGCTTTCTGCTCATTATTGAGGATATAACTTTCTTTATTGGAATTAGATTGTTGAATTGTTCCACTATCAGATAAAAATGTTAAATTATTTTTAACGAAAGTCTCATCTCAAGTAAAAAGGTTGACTACTGACACATCATAGGACCAAAGCAAACGTTCACCCAAAGCGACTGTTGGCTTCAGTTCAGTTTCCGCTGCAATATATTTTTTCCCTCCTTTTCCAGAAATGTTTCTCTTTCAGAAACAGCACGCTTGCTTTTGAGAATTATTCTTTTTAAATTCTTTTGATTTTTACAACCGTAGAACTTCGTGACATCTAAAAATTCTTGCGATGAATCGGGTTGAGAAAACACAAAACTGTTGAGGTGACTGTTGATTTGAGTTGTTTTTGCTAATAAATGCGCAAGATAATCTTCCTCCTTTTCCAGAAATATTTTTCGTTCAGATTTTAAGAATTATTGTTTGGAGTTTTAGAACTGCAGAACTTGACGTGCCAAATACTGATCGGCCAATCAGGAATGCCGTCTACTGGGTCCGATTTTCGGGGTTGTTTGCAGGTTTGCAGGCGGTTTTCCTCAGTTTAGCTTTGGCGCGGCTTAATCTACCAACCACCAAATAAAAAACACCAAAAACCGGCCAGCTACGCAGAGATTAGACAGAAAATGAGGCGAGCGAAAGAAACATGCGTCTTCTTTCCCCTTGCTTGTCTCGGGCTCGCGCGGCCTGCATTTACTTTGCAAAGCGCCTGGTCTGTAAACAGGCTAGCTCGCAACCTGTGACAATCACAAAACAGATGACAATAAAAACATTGCTTCTCATCTTTTCGTGTAGAAAATCGTAGGCGGACGATTCGATTCGTCAGTGTTTTAAAACATCTAATAATATGAGGGTGCCCATCTTACCAAAAATATATAACCTGATCTTATATATATATAGAAAAAAAAAATAACACTTGGAGTATACGTGCACATATGAATCAATGATAATATACAGGCCGGTAACGCCATATTTCCGGTAAATAAGTCACAAGCTTTTGTGTCACCAACTTACCGTATACTATTAACAATGGCATTTGTTTTAGCCGGCTGCAATGAAAAAGTCCAAAGCTGTTTGATATTCATCTGAAGCGACTGTCTTTTTTATAGGAGGAAATAATGAACTGATTGAATCGATCGATAAACATCAGTTGATCAATTTCACTTGGTAGCTATTTTGAACGGTATGATCTTGAAACGTGCTCTATTCCAAGAATGCTCAGTTGTTCACCGTTTTTAAGTCGATTTCAAAGCGTTTAACGCTATTCTTGAGCAGGATTTGTAGAACAGTTGTAACAGATTTGTACGGCATGTTATTTTAATACGCTCAAAAAGCGCAAAGCAAGGACGACGGAGATTTGGTCGTGCACGTGTTAACATGTGATCCGGAGGCAAACAAAGATACTTACGATCTTCATTAAAAGCAAACTTTTCTTACCTGTTTAAGATAAGAGGGCGCCTTACTTTCCACACCAGCAGAGAGGTCCAACACTGTCGGTTAACAGAAGAATACTATTCGTCTGATTTCGTTCAAATGGAGATCCTTCGGCCAAACTGTCGGCTGTGACCAGTGCATATTCTGGTGGCGCGAAAATGAAAGCTGACACTTGACTTTGTTTCAGTTGCCACGCAACACAATTCGTCACACAAATTGGTGGTTTTCAGTGTCACGCCTTTCAAAATAGATCAAAATAAAAATCAAAACCGTTCAATAGATAAAATCCAGAATCTGGGAAATGAAAGGAAGTAAATATGCAAGGGCCCTCGCCAAGATTCAGGTCAGAGGAATATTTCGTATACGAGATATCCGAAGAAATGCTTTACCCAATTTTATAGAGATTTGTACGGAGACGCCATGCTGGTGCTCATCCGGATGGGCACCAACATGGTGGACGGAAACCAGCAGAAACATCTGTTACCGAGTTTTGCTACAAAAGCGTGAATTTATTCTTCGAGGAACACATAAACATTAAAGTAATACTTTCTGTAATACATAAACTGTTTAGATAGCAAAATTCCTTGAATGAAATCAGTCATTTTTTTAATCTACATGACAATTCTCTTGGCCGTCATGTAACTGCCGCGTCACGCAAAAGCTTAAAAATTCAAGCGTACTCTATCAGGCAAAACCAAGAACCATTTTGAAGCGAAATTAAAATTAGTTTTCAGCTGCTCTAATACATCGTGAACGTAAAATCTAGGTAGCATCGATAGTTTTGTAGTTTGAATTTTAGTGACGTTTTACGTGTTTTAGCGTCAAACGAAGGGTTGTATTTTTTTTAACTTGTATATTATGCTGTGTTTTGCCCGCCTTCTTATTTTCGCAGTTCAGATCAGTGCCCCTTCAAAAATGTACCCTATGGAAAACTCCTTTAATGTCTAGCCCCTCTTGCCTAGTCCCGAGGCGCATTATTCCGCGCGGCCAAAGCGTTCCGGGTCACGCGTTCCTAGCGAAAATGTTCGCTTCGGATACGTCACCGAAATGAATCGGTCGACAGAGACTGGGAAAACGCCGTACAACGCCTAGGCAACAGCCCCTCCAGACCCTCCATGGGCCCTTCGAGCTGCGAATCACTTAACACAAGAGGAACGGGAGGGATCATGGGAAGGTGAAAAAAAATGCAGCGTTTTGCCGAAAGAAATCCCCACTGAAACCCTGTAAATATATAGCCCGTATACAGACGTTGTTTCATTTTTCTTTTCGTTCTTTTCAAAAACATTGGCAAGCTCGCGAGCCGAGTGAAGCAAGCGCGGATCGCGAGAAAAAAGAAATAATAATAATATTTCTTCTTCCCCCACCACTACCCCCTTGCGCTGGCGGTCAATAAATCGCCTGCGGTTTGTATTCTATCACCAGCGCTCGACGAAAATAATAAAAATCGAATGGAAGTTTTTTAAAAAATAATTAAAACTGCTTTGAAAATTTGGCCTCAAAAAATTCACAACTTAGTACCTCATGATTCTGTGAAGAACCTTTTGGAGGTGAAATTTTTGCTGTTTATTTGTTTATTGTCATTTTGCTTAAAAAGCGCTAGCCCTGCGTCTCAGGGATTCTAAATCGTTTGTACACAAATGGTTTAGACGATATGTGGGCGGGCTCCAACGCAGGCTAAAAAAGCGCAAGAGGAAACAGTTGCGCTCACTAGTACGCTTCGTTCTCGATGGGATGATTTTTTGGTTATTGTGAAGTTTTAAGTGCATTCAAAAACGTGAAGACAATGAAAAATGGCTGTCAATTCACTGCTCTATACGGCAAATTTTAAGAAGAGTTTCTTTTTTTTGCCTCACGTTTTCGGAAATACATAACCCATTAAGCGAATAAAATATCGGTTTAGTCATGACAAGAGAGCTTTATCCTCTCTTGGTAATGATCGATAAAACAAAGTGATAATCCAACGTATATAGAAAGCTAAATACAAAGGCACATTGAAATTAGAAATTTTTAAAACGAAAACGGGCCAGATATGAAGATGCAATATAGAGCCGGAACAGCATTTTCTAACTGATATTTATAAATGGTTTAAAAGTGCTTTGACCAAGTTAAACAATGGAAATAAACATCGCTCATAATTTTAATATTAATAACCATTTATTTTAACTGGGTTGAAATTTCCTGCATATTGAGAAATGGATATTACCAATAATAATAATATAATGATTATGATATAATAATAATAATAAATATTTTCTGAATCATGG